CATTAAGAGGGAAATAAATTTTTCAAGCTTCTTAACATCCTGAGCCTGATCTGTAACGTATCTACAAACCTGAAATTTCAGCTATATGGAATGAAACTAACGGTCCTATTATTCGTCATTTTAATGGAAAGTGATTGATCAATATGCCGATATTTTGTGCAAAGTCTACACTAAAACAATATAAAAATAAAAAAACATAATACCTTGGAAGGATCTTCTGAATAAAGAATTTCTGCAGCTTTTGTAAAATCTTCAAATGTAGGAAACACTGTCATAATACAGGGCAGAGGGCGGCGTGGAAAACGGTGTCAAAATGAGCGCCAGGAAATATAGGGATATTAGTCCATTACTTTATGAGAACTAGAAAACATATTTATATATCAAGATGTATTTCTGCCATTTTTAAAGGTAAGAATATAAATATTAAATATTTAGGGAAGCTCTACGAAACGAATAAGATTTTAGCTAGTGCTTACGTCTTATTTGGCCTTTGGTCGCGGACAATTTGTATTTGCTCGCTAAGTGTCTTTTACCCCCTCATGTCTGGGAAGGATAGGATTAACATATTTCCGTCACGGATGTTAGCATTTATTCTTATTTGTTCTTCAGGGCTCAAACTTCTATGAAAGCGAGGTTAAAGGGAGCACAAAGAGGACATGGATTATTAAAGAAAAAGGCTGACGCGCTGACCTTGCGTTTCAGGTCCATCCTCAAAAAAATTATAGAGGTTTGATGTTTTATTGAGACTATTTTAGGCCAAACAATCTATGGGTGATATAATGAAGGAGGCTAATTTTTCTCTAGCTTCTGCCAAATATGCATATGCTGGTAATTTCAATCAGCTGGTCATGCAAAACGTTACAAAAGCTCAAACCAAAGTAAAGCTATCCAAAGACAATGTTGCTGGTATTAAAAAAAATTAATTATCTCATTTATAGGAGTTGCCTTGCCTATATTCCAATGCTATAGCGAAGGTGTTGATGGTAAGTAGTCGCGGTATTGAAAAGTTGACCTTGTAATTTAATTTATTCAGTTAGACGATCTCTGTTTTTTATGTTTCCCATTTATCATAGTGTCTTTTATATTGCAACATCTTTATCTTTTCTGATTATCATTTGCGAGATTTTATCCTGCTTAATCTCTTACGAGTCAATTCGCGCCCAAGGTAGCTTAATTCTGATGTGTATTTATTGTGGGTGAATCTATCGCATGTTTTGGCTAGAATCGTTATTTATTTTAGTTAGATCATTGCACAATTAATCCCGAGCTTTCTACGAATTTACTTTCCTTTCATGTCCTACAACAGCCTACGAATTGACAGGTCTGTCCCGTGGTGGGCAACAAATAGATAAACTAAAGAAGATTTATAGCAAGACAATCGAATTGCTTGTGACATTAGCATCTCTTCAGACTTCATTCATTACGCTAGATGATGTCATCAAAGCCACGAACAGACGGGTGAATGCTATTGAGCATGGTAAATTTAATATTTTTCCCTCCGTTTATACGAAGGCCGAGATATGATCATCTTAGGCTTACTCTTAGTGTCCTTTAGTTGTCTAGTGGTTGTTTTGTCTTGCTTTCGCAACTTGGACGGAATAACGGAAAGACCTCTGGGATGTATTCAGTACTACCTCCCTTGCTGCAGCATGCATGATAATTTCCTGTTTTCTGTCCAACCGTTGTGACATCTCACCTTCACTTATTATTCCTTCTAGTGCTTCATTCATATCCCTCATTCCAACCTTATATGCCTCATTTATTTAAACATCATTGTGTCTCTTCGTTTGCTTTAAGAGCGTGCCACCAAGTAGATTTAATGAGCCGTAATTACCTTAACCATTGGTTTAGATTTCATTCTCAGAAATTCTGGGACCCAATTAGAATTTTCTCCACTCAACTTGTATACTGTTGCCTACTATGCATGCAAATCAACTTACTGCTTATAAGCCCTTTATCCTAGGCCCCGTTTGCCTCATTAGGATATTTTTAAAACGACGGTTCTCATGTCTGCGTTGACACAGGCTCTGGAACCCCATTACTAAATTTTCATCTTTCTTACCTCCGCTTCTTTCTCCACTCAAGCTCCGTATCTGGCTCCATTACTAACTGTCCGCCTTGGTTTCCACACCTAGGTGAATTCTAACTATATCCTTAACTTAGCACCGTTAATATTGTACTGTCTACGTTTATGACACTTGATTTCTTCATCCACAAGTGAACCAACACTGGTGACCTTTTGAAATGGGATTCTAGCTTTAATTCCTCTCTGCATTCTATCTTCTCTTGGCTTTCCCTCATCAATTCCTTCCCTGCGATGTCTTTTATTTTCTTGAATGGATTTATTTGGCCTGATCGTCTTCTTTTAGCCGTTTATACTGAATTCATATGTTCTCGAAGTATGCTCAGTCAGCAAGCGAAATTTTCGCTGGATCCTCTCTCCAATCTCCTCCTCACTAAATATTGATGAGAGGATATCTACAGTTTTCACCATCTCTTTTCTCCAGTGGCGTAAATTTTGCCAAAATCAGCGAAGAATTTGCCCTAGTAGATGTTGAGATACAAGCGATGGCAATTAGAATCCAGACGGGCTCTTTTTAGGCTCTTTCAGTCCACATTCCCATCACCGAGCATAAGATTGCGAATTTCTTCTCATTTATTTATATTATATGCACGCATTGGCACTCTTTTCAGTATTATCGCTGCATATTCCATAGCAGAATGCGGCTTTTTGCCCCCACTCAACAAATTTAAAGGATTTTCACCATCAAGCTATCACCCTGGAGGTGTATAATCGTGTAGCAAGCGCTCTTCTGGCGCGTCTACCATCAATAAGGGTCGTTACATTTAATCTGATTGATCCGGATAGACTGCTTGACAGGTGCAAAGGCAAATCCTTTACAGACGTCATGCAGCATTTATTCATAGCCCGGAACCCATTTGAGCCCCACGACTGAAGGCATTGGAACCCTATCACCCATCCCTTAGGACCTCTATTCTCGTTTCATATTACTTGTCTATCACATCACAAGCGGCCATGGATGCTATTTCCGCCACAACTCAATTCCCTTCGATTTATCACCTTTATGCTTTTCTCGCCAAAGCTTTGAAACTCTTGTTTGCCCGCACGTACGCATTCGTGAATAAATAATTTCGAATAGTGCCTTAAAAATAAGCATAGGCCAAGAAATTCGGGCATCGTTAAAGGTTTAGGGCTCACTAGATTTGATAAAAATATTCCCCCATTGCTAATAGCAGCTTGGCCTGGGCTTCATCAAATATCAAGTCGGTTAATCATACGTTCACTCTAAAAAGCACTTTTTTTTAGTAATTGTTCCAAGGATTGAAAGGACACTTCAATATATAATACAGGAGCTTGATGAAAGGGAGCGCGAAGAATTCTTCAGGTTTGAATTTATAAAATTTTCTGGTGCATATGTACAAGACGACTTACTATTCATGTGTTTTTAGGCTTAAAAAAATTCAAGAGAAAAAGAAGAAGTTCCAGAAGGAGCGAGAGGCACAGTTGGCTAGGGAGGGTATTAACCAAAAGGTTTCTTCTGATTCCCCGGTCACTAATATGCTCGTCGATGAAGAGGCCAATCAATTTCTCTTTGGCTGAGACCAAGTGAGAATTACTTGGGTCCCAAAAGCATAATACTATTATTTATTGATTTCTCCACAATTTTATTATCATTTATCACTTTAGCCTGTCGGCGATCAAACTTTCTTCATATCATCATAGCCCTAAATTTATTTATATGATAGTTATACAACAAAGTTTTATAATAAATCTTATGAAGATTCAATTAATCTTCCTGTAGTTTCTCAGCACTGGGTATACGTTATTCAGTGCTTCGTAGATCTGTTGGTGAGATTTTGCTCCTACAAACAAAAGAGCGTGTATATATTTTAAGGGGGCAAATCAGGAAACAAGATTAGTGATCAAATTGTATTATGTGGTCCTACCCGTTATGACGACCTTTCCCGTAACAAAAATGAGCAGGACCAAACGAGGGTTGATTATGCGGTAGATGAGCCCTGGAAATATTTCCGGTTCGTACCTGAAAAATTAAGCGGGAAATCTCAGGTAAAGCTTGAGCCAATATGCACACATTCCATAGGATAATCCTAAAAGGGTGTGCAACTAGACGGGATTAAATTGCGATCTATCACTTTATTCTAGAGTACTGCTAGAATTGAGCACAAGCCTCGGCGCGAGGTGGAATCAGGATTTTCAGTGACGGCATCCCCCTGCGCTCATTGAACGCTTAGGATGGCGAGATAGACACTTTATTTTTTTCAACATGATTTAATTAATTCCATTGTGGATGTAGAGACGAGGGTGATTTGGACTGGTACAGCAGCAGCCTTCTTTCGGCGTACATACCTGGCTCGGCCTCTTTTTCACAACTTAGTTGTTTTCGGATAAATTTAGGAAAGCGCACCGGGTGCCGCATCTTTCACCAATTCTATGACCTGTTCCAGCATCGTATAGACGTTTCGCTACCATCATCAGCCAGTAGTGATATCCTTATCATTTACAAACGAGTCACTCGTGCCTTGATGAACTTCTAAGAGGC